ATGCAGGCCACATAGAAAACACCGTGTCCAGCAGTTCTTCTCTTGTTGTATTGTATTCTTTGCTTTGGGAATGTGTTTACTGAGCTTTTGTGTAAATTCCTTGTTTCGTGATCACCTTGCTGTGTGTGTATCACTCCTTGACTCCAGATAGCGAGAAAAGTGGAGGTGGAAGAGACAGCCAATACAATACAGTGTAAATGTACGTGACGTGATATGATGCCCGTAAGTCATAATAGTGCAGGTGAGACTTCAAGTGGTGGTCCAGATGTTATAAAAAGAGCTGCAGCATTAACTGTAAAAGAATGTGAGAGTTGTGCAAGGCTGAAATTAGAATTGAATATTATTACATCTGAACTCGAATCTGCTATTGAAATCATTGGTATTCTAAAAGGAGAGCTTGGTATTACCGATATAGAGGATAAGAAGGATGATAAGAAAAACTCAACCATAGAACACAACAAAGGTCCTGAACTCGACATACTTCAAGGAGAAAGAAACGGGACTCTGGAGCGAGTGAATCAACATAAAGAGAAGATGGATAAGATAAGGGACTAGAGTGAAATACCCATGTGAATTTACAGTCGTTTGGATGCTCTGACTAACCTCAATGAAACAATGAAATCAACTGTTTTAGTAAATGAAAAGACTTCTAATTCTAGTGAAATACATAATAAGAAGACAAAGATTCAATCTTAATAGTAAGAAAAAAAAACACTGTTGAAATATATACCGGTGATAGTGAATGGTGAAATAGTAAATAACAACCGTGATAACATAGTGCAATACCCAGGCTTTGTTCATAATAGTCTAAAGAAAATAATTATATCATGTTAATATAATAAATAATTAATTATGATCAGGAAAGTATGTCCAGTGTAACATGCACTAAGTTCCTTGGTTTGATTATTGATGATGTACTTGTATTATCTTGGAAACAGCATATTGACCTAGTGATCAGTAGATTATCCTCTGCGTGCTATGCATTCCAAAATATAAAACATAATGTATCATTTGCAACGTTAAGGCCAATCAATTTTGCTTATGTACACTACATTATGAGTTATGGCATGATCTTCTGGGGTGGCTCCTCTCATGCCAGGAAAGTGTTTATCTTGCAAAAGAAAATTATTATTACCAAAACAAACACTAAACCTAGAGATTCTTGCCGGGATATTTTAAAGAAATTGGAAATTATGGCGTTATATTCACAGTATATACATACTCATTACTTTTTACATAATTAATAATAAACATTTATTTAACTTTAATAATGAGATTCATAAATATACAACTAGATCCCAAAGTAATTTACATGTACCTAGTGTTAATACTTCAAAATTTGATAAAGGAGTCTATATAACAGGTATTGAAGTGTTCAGTCATCTTCCACAATCAATGAAGATGTTGGTCAGTGATGAGAAAACCTTTATATTTACATTAAAGTGGTCTTTATGTCATCATTCTTTTGTCTCTATAAACGAATACTTTCAATATAAAGAAGACAAAGGATTGTAATCCAGATATTATCTTGAATTGTTTGTTACGTTGATTTTACACATGATGAATTACCCACTGACTAGTAGCTCGGCATTTAAGGGTATAAATTTTATGGTAGTATGGTAATGTATCAGACCATCTGTTTTAAATAACATATGACTGTATACAATGAAGATGGTCATGAATGGTTTACTGACAGCTCATTTCTTTTTATCCTGTAGAGGAATATGTTAATTAATAGTTTTCAAATTTTAAGGTTCTTGCTATGAGATGACTGATTGTATATACTGAATTCTTGTTATATATTCTAATTTTTAAATCCTGGTGAAATGTATTATATTTGGACTATTAAATTATGTATTTGTAGTTATGTTATGGAGATAATTGCATCAAACTTTTATATTATTAATAGGTCTTATATATTAATTTATGATTGTGACAGCAATAATCGTATATCTGCATAAATTTGATCATATTTCAATATTTTATGTACAAATTTTGTATTGTGCTGTATTGCATATTGATGGGTCCATTGTTTTTATGTATGTGTTTATGTGTTTTGACATGTTTTATATCCTATGGCATGCATGATCTGTGTAGTTTAAAATAAAGTGAAACTGAAAGACAAGCACCTCATTGATGGCCAATCTTAGGGAACAACTCAGTAATTAGGCGTTCAAACTCCTCAGTTTCTGTATGCTACAGCTGTCTTTTAACAATGGTTCTGACCAGAGAGTTGTCCTCTTCCGGACTGTAGAGAAAACTTTTCCTCCAAGGGTTTATCTGTTGTAAGCCTACTTTCCTTGTGTGTCTGTGTGTATATCGTTCCTATCATTGGTAGGCATCGGCTCTGTTGCTAGGTTAAAGCAACATTGGTAAACACATTCCTGTCACAGTGAACTCATCTGCAAGAATAGAATAGTTATTGGATGTGTTGTTTTTTATGTGGTTCATGTCACATCAGAGAAAACAGGTGAAAAATATCTTCCCAGAATTTCTTGTGTGGGATGTGAATGTGTAGCCATGATAGGTACAGCATTGTTTGTTTTCCAGAACCTTGCAGATTCAGTGGAAGCACGAAGTCTCTGTAGTGAGATACATGCAGCATCTTCTCATGATGCAAGTCAGGTCAACAGTGTAAAAGCTGAGGAAGTGTCAGATGCAGAAGAAGAGAAGTATCCTGTGCCAATAACATTTCAAAGAATAAAGGCTGAACCTGAGGTGAGCTGTGTCTCTGTGTCCATGTTAAGTGATTTTCAGAAATAAGGTATTCCCCATTTTAAGAACACTTCATTTGCCATGACCCGAACAAAGTAAGGAAGGCGGTAAGTTTGTCTGCAAAGATGGAAATAATAGAAAGGATTTGAGGAGGACAATATTATGGCATATTGATCTGTTGCTAGGCTACGATCTCAAAATAAGCAACTATTCAACAGCCATTACAAAGTAACAGCTCTGCAAACAAGTATGTTTCCACAGCAACTGAGTCAGTGCAACCAAGGAACAGTGTTTCCCATGCATTCCATGCTGAGATGTTATAAACAGGGTCAGTTAACTGTTGGAGTTAACCCTACGTGGAGGCGGGTTTGAGTACCTCCACCATATGTTATGTAAGGACTATAAGTGCAAATGTTCAGTTGGAAAAAGAAAATACTGGTCATGTCCGCAATTTTCCTGTGTCGAATTCTTTATTTGTCGCTTGTTTCGGTCCCTATGCCTTTTGTTCTTTGGTTCTCTGACCGGCATTACTTCGGCGTCTTCTACGGGTACCTCTCGTAATTCTGCCGCCTCAGGTTTCCTGTTTGCTGAGGTCGGCTCTTCTGAATGTGCCTCCATTTCTTGGCAGGCCATCGTCTCTCTGACTGGTAACACCATGGGGACCTCTTCTTATGCCATCCTTGCTCTGATTGCTTCAATTTTATGTTGGAATGTCTCATCCAACTCTGACGGCATAGATCGCATTTCCGCCTTTATTTCTTCCTTGTCGGCAACCGCCTTTTCTTGATTGGCGTCTAATTTGGCCATTAAATCTTGTTTGTCTTTTCTTCTACTGGCCTCCGTCTTTTCTTGGTAGGATTTCATGTTGGCATCCATTTTTGCCAGCATTTCTTCTTTGTCGGTTTTTCTATCGGCCGACGCCTTTTCTTGGTAGGCGTCTAGTTTTGTCAGCATGATGTCGGTTTGTTTTTGGTTGAGGTCTAATCTTGCCAGGAAGTCTTCTCAGTCTTTTTTCCTACATTCCTCCATCTCTTCCTTCTCTTTCCTTCTCTCTTCCTCCCTATCGGCTTTCAGTCTGGCCACCATTTGCTTCTGGGCGAACAACAGACGTTCCATCATCTTTTCCATGTCCATGTTGTAGCAGTAAAATACTCGATGCACAACAATCTGTTTGTGGCGTGTTCAAGTTCGTAAAACAATTCTGACACCAAATTGTCACGTGTCTTGTGTTCGAATCTCGTTGATCACGTGTGTAAGTCCAAATCCCACTTCTGACACCAGTTGTCACGTATTGGGTGTATAACGCGACAAATAACTTCACGCCGTATTTGATATAGCGAATTTTATTTCACATTCGCACTTACAATCACCCAAATTACAGATTCGCAATCACAGCTATCTGCAGTATCACAAATACTACACTTCAAATGCCAGAATGCAACTGACTGGTTGCTGGCTAACTCAGAACTCTCTCAGAACTAACTTGTAGGTAGCTGCCTTGAGAACTGTTGATAACACACTCTCGCTTGACAACTACTGATCTCTGCGACTGCCACAGTACAACTCAACTCGTCGACTGCTACGTTACAACTAACTACTCGCAAGCAGCGCAGCTCTCTTATATGTAGGGGCTGTGTGGGCGTGTTACATAACAACGCTATTACCTCCAGCCGTCTTACGTCACCGCGCATTGCGTGTTACGTTACCGAGTGGAGGGGGGGANAAATTGTCACGTGTCTTGAGTTCGAATCTCGTTGATCACGTGTGTAAGTCCAAATCCCACTTCTGACACCAGTTGTCACGATGTCACAATATCTTCCCAGAATTTCTTGTGTGGGATGTGAATGTGTAGCCGTGATAGGTACAGCATTGTTTGTTTTACAGAACCTTGCAGATTCAGTGGAAGCACGAAGTCTCTGTAGTGAGATACATCCGGCTTCTCATGATGCAAGTGAGGCCAACAGTTTAAAAGCTGAGGAAGTGTCAGATGCAGAAGAAGAGAAGTGTCCTGTGCCAATAACATTTCAAAGAATAAAGGCTGAACCTGAGGTGAGCTGTGTCTCTGTGTCCATGTTAAGTGATTTTCAGAAATGAGGTATCCCCCATTTTAAGTACACTTCATTTACCATGACCCGAACAAAGTAAGGAAGGTGGTAAGTTTGTCTGGAAAGATGGAAATAATAGAAGGGATTTGAGGAGGACAATATTATGACATATTGATGTGTTGCTGGGCTACGATCGCAAAATAAGCAACTATTCAACAGTCATTGCTAAGTAACAGCTCTGCAAACAAGTATGTTTCCACAGCAGCTGTTTCAGTGCAACCAAGGAACAGTGTTTCCCATGCATTCCGTGCTGAGATATTATAAACAGGGTCAGTTAACTGTTGGAGTTAACTCTATGTGGAGGCAGGTTTAAGTACCTCCACCATATGTTATGTAAGCACTATAAGTGCAAATGTTCAGTTGGAAAAAGAAAATACTGGTCATGTTTCTCAAGGGACTTGTGCCAGGATGAACTGATTGGTGGTAAACCACCAGTCTTTAAATTGGCTCTAATTCTGACCCTTACTCTGACTGTGTTGGAGTTAGAGAGTGATTTAGAGGACTGTTGTGGTTCACTCATTGTTTGCTGTTGCTGTTAGACACTGGTAGCTGAGTACAAGGAGGGTTCAGGATCCCAGAGGAAAAGGTATGTCTAGTTTTGGAATCTGCTACCAAGCAGTGGCTAGTGAAGAAGTGACTGTGGACACTAGTGTGTGAGTCATAGTGAACTGTAAAATGTAGACATGTACTGTACCAAAGAGTCCAATCCAGCCACCAATCTGAAACCCGTCTCTAGGTACACTCCATAAAAGTGTGACAATATGCATGATAATGAAGCTGCTTTATTTTGTTGCATCGGCTATGTGAGAATAATTGTATTTTAAAAGCATATGTTTTATTTCCCAATAAATATCGTAAACTGGTACAACTGTTTTTATTTTAATGCTTATTTATGACTAAACATATGGTAAAGATGGTGAGGGCCTTCTCTGGAACTCACACTTTGAACAGTTTTCATAGGGTGAATTGCCTTTGTGAAATGGGGGAGACCTGTTTTTCTTTCATATCTCATGTGTTGGTCTCTGCACAGGAAATAACTCTGCTGTGGTCCCTGGATTTTGAAGAGTATTTTCTGAAATGTGAGCATGATTGCTGTCTGTTGAATGTTGCTTGCGGTGTACCACTTCTGTTTTCTCTTAAGGAAATCTAATATACTTGAAATTCAATACAGCAAAACCTACCTTAAACAGACCCTTTATTAAACGGAATTTGTCTTAAACAGAAATATTTTCAGGTCCTGTGACTTTGGGGCTGAAGAATATGTTGTGTATTAAAGGGAAACGGAAATCATAATAAGCCTTTATAAGGAAAATTTCCGGTCTTCCAGAGTGCATTGTTTGGAAGAATTTTAGGCATCCTATACATTCTACAGAATTTTGTTTTCTCTGACTCCTTCAAATCAATTTTTAACATTGCTACACTACCTGCACTGAAATTCAACTGAAGTATTTGCCCCTGTAATGGCGCAGGGGTTATGTACAAGTAGATATGTTTTTTTTGGGGTAAATTTGGAATAAGTATATCTAGACCTTTAGATTAAGAAACAGAAATGATGAAACACACCAGGAAGCTTGGGTTTGCAAAAGAAGAGTAACAGGCTATAGCTTAGTAATCAGAATGCTAGCACAACTGCATAATAACGCTGACATTGAGGAAGAAGCTATATGAAGTAGGTCATAAACACTATGGCAGGATGAAAACACTGAGTCGTAGAAGGCGGTAGACCCGAAAGAGTCAACCCCTTCTCGATAAACAGCCATTGAGTGGGCCACACTGACCCGAATTTACGTCAGAATGGGCGGGCTAATACACCCCGGAACCCAACCAATCAACAAAAAGAGGGTACATAAACCCTAGTGGAATCAATCAAAAATCTTTTGACTTTTTAATATTATGAAGTTACATAGAGTTCAGCCGGAGGCTATCGCCGAGAGAGCGATGGCAGTGAGTGGGCGTTGGTTGGTGATGGTGAGCATCTATTTCTTCAGCTCAAGTAAGTGAACCAACTTCATATAGCCGTGAACAATAAGTGTGATAATTTTAAAGTGCAACCCCGAAGAGAGAAAGTGCTAACCAGATGGACTAGGTTCTCTAAGAGCTACAGAGGCGTAGAATACCCGACAGCGGGGTGACCGGAGATAGAACTAATGTGGTGCTACAAGGTCATCATCAAATGTAATACGAACCGACGAACATCGGCAAAGTGTGTATATAGTATGTATATAGCGACATAATGAAATAGATAGGATAGGCATGAGCTGTGATATTAATTCAACCTAGCATTTCTTTAAGTGTTACCCCCTTCCCTGACGACTCCAGCCCCTCCCAAAGCTTCGGCGAATTGCAAGTTAAGCCAGGACTTGTGACGTAATCAATGATACGTTTACTAGAGTTTTCTTGACATAACAAGGTGGTGGCAGCATACTAAACCGGGTGACAGAGCGGGATACCCCCACACCCCCTGTCACCACAGCGTAACAGTGGAAACAGCGTTGAGATAACCAACCCACCCTGTGATAAGTACGTAAGGGCATAACAGTGGTGTAGCAGCGGCGTAACAATGGTGGCAGTGGTGGGATACCTCCACGCCCCTGCCACCACGGCATAAAAGCCTCTTCCATGAATTTAACTCAGTAAGGGCTCTGGGCCTGCATTTTTACTTTAGTCTAGCAGTTGTCTTCATTGCTACAAAGACAGGAGTTGTGCTTGATCTTAACAGCAGAGTAAAAGTGATTCATGCGAGTGAGCGAGATAAATTGTCTGTTAAGCAAATCATGAAGATGTTTAACATCAGAAAAACTCAAGTGTATGAGATTCCAAAGAAGAAGACGGACATTTTGAAGGGGTGGGGAAATTGTACTAATGGAAAAATGGAAAGAGAACTGCAAATGAAGACTTTAATGAAATAGTGTGGGAGTGGTTTGTCAGTGTCAGGGCTAGACATCACCACGTGTCGGCTCCTATTGTACAGGAATATGCTAAAAATGATGCTCTAAAACTGGGGAAGGCTGAATTCAAAGCGTGTAACAGATGGTTGGAGAGTTTTCACAAGACGTCAGGTAGTATTTATGAACTTTGTGGTGAATCAGGTGATGTAAATAGTGAGACCATTGAGGAGTGGGTAGCTAAATTGCCATCCATAATGAACGGATTTGAACCTGAAAACATGGCAAATGGTGATGGAACTGGACTCTTCTTCCGCGAGCCACCGAATAAATCACCGTGTCTGAAAGGTGAATAATGTTCGGAAGGAAAACT